ACGGTTTGTAACGTGATTTACAGTTTCAACCAGTGAGTATTGTAAACTAATAATTAGTGAATAAAATTTGCATTAGGTGTAAGTGTAAACATGGGAAATTACTTAAAGCTTTCAAGAATTAAAGGTAAGTTTGTTGTGTATGTACTTCATGTGTAAAACTTCGGCACAATTTTTGCGATTTAATGTTCAGTAGATTTATCAGCTTAAAGCGATTGTTGTCGATATTGACAAAATTATTGGCATGATCTATTATAATTACCAGCATCGATTTATCTACCCTTCTACTTAATTTGTGAAAGTTTTATAATGTTTTAATGTTTTATAATTTTAACTATTTTAAATTTTTATTATTTCAGGTAAGTGGCTAATTTATGTGACAATATGGGCATTTCGTAGTATTTAATTGGATTAAAAATAAGGTAGGCAGTTCAGTATTTCAGAAATATAAACCCTATTAACTTATTTATTATCTTAGCAACGTATAAAATTCGCAGCGATCTTTTATTTATTCTTGATTTTTTAATATCTCTTTAAAATAATCTTATTTGATAATCAATTAACAATTACTGTGTAGTTGAAACTGCATAATTTAGTAAGTCTGTAAAACACTGGAACTAATGATTCAAAAATACCTATTATTTTTTAAAATTAGGAATACAGTACTCTGGCTTCATTAGAAATGTTTTTAATATTCTTGTTTCTTGATCAGATATTTTATTATACGAATCTCGTGAAAATGTTAATGGCTAAAAACTGCGCAGGTGTAAATACAAGAAAAAAAAAAAACAATTTAAAATTGTAATTGCAAATGTAGAACGTCATATTTAAATATGTATGAAATAAGGTACTATACCTTTCCAAAAATCTCAATGTCCACCAAAAGTAAGCATGGATCAGACTCGATCGGTAGAGGTTTGCATTCTTTTTCGGGTTTGTTGAGACAATTTTCTGTAGATTGGCCGCTAGATAACCAAGCAAGGGCAAAGTCTTCTGAATTTTTAGTTATTGTTCCATTAGATATTCGCATATCGTTATCAATATCTCCATCACAATCTCCACATAGTCCCTCTAATTTACCTCCATGTTTCATGGACGGTGCCTTTACTGACACTCCAAGTAATGGGAAATAAATAAAAATCTAAGTAGAGAAAAAGTTACTATAGTAAACCGTGATACTACTTAAAATAAGAACAATGTTTACCTCAACTTGTTCGTCTTTTAGAAGAATCAAAAGATGCTTCGTCACGCCTTCTAATACATCCAACCAATCGTTTATATTTCCATAATGAGTTATTTGTTCCGAATTTAGGTTGACTTTGAAATTTTTATTTTCGTTATCTTTTGTTATTACTATTTCATGATGGTGGTGTAAAATAGTAACTTTCATAACACACATTTTTTTCTTGTTGTCTTCACAAGGACCATTAGTAATTATAACCTGTAGTACAAAAAGTACCTTTCTTTGAAAATAATCCTTTAAAGTTTCAAATGATCATGGTTTAGTTTGATATGTAAAGGATTGAAAGAAATAAAAGACACTTTCTTGTGTCTGAAATCACCCATCTGCTTATTTGTCACAAAAATCGTGTTAAGAGATCTTTCTTTTATCACAGAAATTTAAAAGAGAACGGTTTATAAAGCTGGTCTTTTATCCATAAAAGGCATAAAAACAAAATCGTTCTTTACTTACCCACACACAAATAATTGTTAGGTGATGACTTTTTGTAACTTAAGATGAGTACAGTAAGAGGGTTTAATGATTTTTAATAGTTTTTTCAATCGTTGTACTTTTTCCCAACGATTAATAATAATAGAGATATATGTATATGTAAATTTGAAAGTTAGCAATAAAAATGATGCAATATTTAAACATCGTCGGTTATAAAAAGTCAATAAATCCTTTGTGAAGAACAATATTTGTTTTCATGTTGGTTTGGATGAAAAGAAAAATAGAGGATATCAATCTGGCGATCTAAGTAAAAGTTACTTCTTGTAACTCCATTAATTAAACGGAAGCACAGTGCTTGTTACAAAAGCTATTTATTAATTATCCGCAACATTACTTCACCATATTGTAGCTTCATCAGGTTAAAGAATGAAATCTTGTTGCATTTGCATTTTTTCTTTTGTTAAAAATGTAATCACTTAAAGTTGAAGATGGTTCTTTCATTTATTATGCTTCTCTAATCTTAAAGAAATTCTCGTCCATGTTCTCAAACTTCGGTTATACAAAATAAAAGCTGAATTCTCAGGCAATCAGTAGAGAACCTTCAGGTAGAAGAATAAGTACTTCGACGTATCTTTAGTTTGCCAACCTCTTCAGGAAAATGTTGATCATTGAAACACTCGTATTGACGAAAAAAATATTAAATTTTGTAATGTTACTTTTTCCATGCTTTTTCTGGACATAATCCAGAGTTTTAGGTTATTTTATCTTACAAAACTTTTAGTATAATAATATTTTAAAGTCGTACCTGAAACCGATGTTGCCCATTTTCCTTTTGAGTCACATCCCTCGTCATTACGTAATCGCAATTTCCACTAACGCTAACATTGTTACCATCATAACTGATATACTGTAGATGAGGTAAAACTGTACACTCACAATCCCTGCAAGCTGTGGGAAGAACGCAGTCGCCTCCTTTATGTACATAACCGGGCGGGCAATAGCATCCAGGGAAGCATACGTGGGATAATTGGGGACACGCATTAGGATCCGATAAAGATTCACAACTAGGTTCACAACGTCTTCTATAGCAGTCGTAATGTACCAAGGGCGCATCACAAATTGCCGCTAAAACAAATGAAAGTCTATTAAAACCAGAATTATCGTTTTCTTATCTCTTCCTTCGCTTGAAATGAAAGATTTAGAGAATTAGTAAATATTTTACAAAAATGCAGTAATTGAATCCATTTGTAGAACCATTTAGTGATAGACTAGTGGTGGGAGAGGGAGTAGTAGGAAAAAATACCCTAAAAATAGTGAAAAGTTTAGGTTTTGTATAATTATTTGGTTTGAGCTTTGCAATATAATATCGCCTGAGTCTTTATTACATGGTGAGCCCTAATTTCGGTGAGTAGCACCGTTCATTAAAGTTTGACCGAGCGGTGTTTCTAAAGGACAAATTTTCTGTAGTTCTTCATCTCGACTCTCTCATCTTTTTCTCCATTACCACCATCATGCAGTTATTTCCATGTTTTCTAAAGGAGACCGAAGAAGATCATCACGCTACACTCCACCAGTGTTATCTCGTGGGAATAAAACCCAATATTGTTTTAGGGATTTAGTTTATTCTTATACCTTCTTACAATTAGAATTTAAAAATTGGCCGGGGATAAGTACCTAAATATGTCATCTGATTCTGAGTATTATTTACTGTTCTTTTTTAACTACTGTAGAAGATGAAATTATAAAAAACTGAGTTGGTGGAGGGTTATCTGTTTTCATTTAGCTATTATCAGTTTTTTATTATCCTACCAACTGCCTCAGACTTTCTTTATAATTCTTAATTGTATGTTTACGACACTAATGTCTAACATACGCATTCGAACTTATAATAAATAACTTGATTGGAAACTTTTGTTTGGCCTAAAGCTCTGTAGATTCAGTACCTAAAGTTAACTTATTATTTATAAAAACAAAGTACTCTATATGACGTTCAATTTATTTTTTGTAATTTTAATCTGCTTGGATGCATCTCTTCGTGTTAGATAGACATTCGTTTCAGTTACTATCCTATATTTACAAATTTCTATATTCATTACATTATCAATGTGTTGACCTAACAGAAACTTTTTGCAATGGTTATGAATGCTTCGATTTTATCAATAATTAACTAACATTAATTTTATCGATGTATAATAAATAATATGACTTACGACAATCTTGTTGCATTCTCCAATCTGATAATTCCAAACTCGGGTCAGAAGTCATACAATCGACCACGAAAGACTGAAGCACTCCACATCTGCATTGATCTTCTCTGTTTGTATCTTCTTCAGCTTCTTGCAAGCAGTTGCATGTCGTTTCTAAACAACGAGAAATAAATGCTTCCACATCTATGGCTGAGTTACAAAGGGCTAAAATTCCTTGCCTAAAACGAGTTATTTTTGTTTGTTAAAGTATTCGCTTAATCCTATAACATCTGGATGATGACTTACTTGACTTTTTGACACATTTCCCAAGCCTTGTTTTGTACGTGGATAGGACACGCTTTTACTTCACAAATCTGTGGACGATTGATTGATCCCCAACTATCCCCAAATTCAACCGTTGTCTTGGCTAGCATCCCATCAGGTTTTCGTTTATCGTCCCATCGTCGATAATTGAAATATCCACATAAACCGTCGACTTTCCTTGATAATTCTCCAGCCACGCCAATTTTCACATTTGCATTTTTATCCCAAATTATCCAAAATCGATAATGGTGTGATATAAAGAGTAATACGTCACCTAATCGCGATACCATAAACGATTGGGATTGAGAACCAATTTTCTTTGTCTGATCGACGGTGTATTTATAATTATCGAATTCAACGGACAAATCAGGATGAAGTACAAATAAATGTTCATCATAGTAGATAACCAATTCACGAGAGCATATTACGGTGCAAGTTTTTCTTACTGAAAATCAAAGAAACGTTACTTTAAAAAATGGAAGTATCACAATCTCAATATCAAAGTGAGGGCACATCTTTATTGGTCAATAAAAATAACTTATTATTTTGTTATCCTATAACGCTTAATTAAACAGAAGAACGTCAGTCCAATAAATTTATACCAAATATTTATATCATATACATTTTTATTTAATGTAACTATGATTTTTAAAAGTGATCTTCATCATAATTGTAAAAATTCATTAATTTTATTTTGATTCTTAGCATATGATGAAAGAAATTTGTTTTTGGTAAAATAAAATGTCACTAAAATCAGTTAATTATTAACAAAAGAATAAGTCAATTAAATTTAACAGTTACTTACAAACTATTTCCCACAGATCTTCCTCCACATCTCTCACTAAAACGTGCTCACAAATATCGTATTTAAACTCCGTGTTATCGAAAGTTATAAATGTTCGCCCTGTAATATTGCACACTGCATCTGGAAGGGGTGGCTGTTGGCATGTATACCTAAAAATGACGAGTAATTGTAAATGTATAATCATATGGATTTATATGTATATTAATACGTGAACAAGGAAAATCGTAGGTTTTTTCATATATTAAAAGAGGGGGACTGAAACTACTGAGCGACATTAGTGATTTACACTACACACTACATCGGGAGTACATTTCTGATCCATCTGCCCTAATCCACGTTTTTCTGTGACTTCCTCAGATTACCTAGGTTTAGGTAAATGCTAGGGCATCAGTAATATTCCATAGATAATCTTTTACTTCTTTTCTGTCTTTATTTCGCCCATCTCACCTTTCATACCCCAACCATCATCTACCCATTTTAACATTTGTAATAGAGGTTGAAAAGGACCTTCTGTCTTACTCTCCAGTACAATCCGATTACCCGTGTATCAGCAAAAGTTTTTTTTAGGAATGAAATATCATTCGAGAGGTTCAGTTCCGGGCAGATACAACTCTTTTTGTTTCTATTATTTTACTTAGATAAAATAAATTGGTCTAACACACGATTTCTAGTAAATTATTTGACTTCATAATTAATGAAATTACCTGGGACAATTTAAACCGCCGGTTTTAATTTCTTCTTGATGATATTCTGGTGTATACCCTGCAGGACAAATTGCTGGAGGGCAATGATACTCTGATCCATTCACCCATTGTGGAGGAGGAGGTTCACAACTAAATCGAGGACATTCCTTTTGTTCTTGAAGATCCTCTTCAACTGCTTCTTTCAGTTGGTGCTTAAAGGCAACTGGCTTTTTAAGATTTTTGGTAGTTTTCGATTTCGTTCCTTAAGAAAAAGCGTTGAGAGTAATATTGAGAAGAGAGAATGTGAATAATACCTTTCTTTGTGAAGCCCTTGACTGATCTATAATTCCTCTTATTAGACGCCTTTCTTCCAAAAAATGAGAACATGGGCGACAAATTTGAATGTAATTTTTCTGCCTTGGACGGTCTCTTGATTTTCAACTTATAGCCAGGGGGACAAGATGGGGTTGAACACGTAAGATGTGAAGCTACAAATGTACATGCATACATATAATTCATTTTTTAGTGATTAATTTACGTTTCATTTTACCTTTGGTAACTGTTGTTATTTCGGTTGTTGGAACTGTCGCTGTAATAGTGGCGTCGGTAGTGCAACTCAGTTCGTCATCTGAACAATCTTCAATACCATTACACCAAAGGGTACTGTTAATGCAAATGTTGTTTGTAGGGCACAATATTGTTCCTTCGTTGCATGGTTGACAAATGCACCCACAAGTGCTTGTCACTACTTTTCGTAAACCCTGCAAAATCTTTGTTTATTTATTTAATTCATTATACTCATACTGATATATAGACAAAAGAAAAAATGATAATATAATGATTTCAGAATAAAACAGAAAATGAAAATTTATAATTCTAGTTATAACTATTAAGGATTAGAGTGATGGAAGATAAAATGTACATTAATGACTACTTCAAAAGAATCAATAATTATCAATAATCGGTATTATTCCATTTTTATACTATAATACGGAATTCGATATTGGTTAACTGCTTTATATCCGTACTACTCCTTCCGTCCTGACTTATCTGACTTCCTAGGTATCTAAAATCAGCCACTTCTTCTAATTTTTCGTCTCCTATCTTTATATACTTTTTCTTCTCTTGCATACCAGTATTTTTGTTTTACTTTTATTTATTTTCCATTTTATTTAAAGCTATCTCTAACTCTTCCTTGCTAGATGCTAATACTGCTATATCATCTGCAAATCTAAGCATATTAATATTTTGTCCCTGTATATCTATCCCTACAGTTGTACTGTCTTTAATGATGTTTATGGCGTCTTCGATGTATAGATTAAAAAGTAGCGGTGACAGTGTGCATCCCTGTCTGACTCCNAACATTGGATCTAACAATGGGTGGCACTAATCAAAGACAGATAATCATCCGTTAGTTATAAAATTAAGCACCTTGAATGTTGGAATTTTATAATCATATAAATTATTATTGAACAGAAGGAATAAGTAGAGTTATTGTAAAAAGGATTCAATTTTATACATCAGAAAGATTTTTATACAGGAAATTTATTTTCAGGCAATAAAATTGTTCATAATATTTCTGCAACTAAAATCATTTGTGACATATTTTCAAACTTTTAAATTTGTACAATTTTAGTAATAAATGCTCTGGGGTCGGTCATTTAAACATTGTACTGTTCCGCCCTTCAAAGCTTTTATTATATAGTCCCATAGCATAACAAAACTATAGGTTGTAGAAAGGAAACAAAAAATGAATTTACTTTTTGGTTAATACCTTAAATTTAAGTAAAAATGTATGAATTTTTAGCATGAACTGATCAATCTCTTTACAAAGATACCCTACATATTATACTTACATTATTATCTACCATTCGAAAGTTTAGAAAAACTTTAAACTCTTAGCAAAAAGCCAACGTTTCGGTCCTAGATTGGGAAGTTTATCAAGGCTCTAATAATGAACCAGACCAATTAAAAATTAAGTTAGTAATGTTAAATATAACAATTTAGTAGTACTTACATTTCCTTGGTTTAAATTATATAGTGAAAATCAACACAACTTCTGCCTGAAAATATTTTTTAAAAATTACGATTGTAATAAGCTTAACGACAACCTGATACAAGCTTGCTTATCACAATTGTAATTTTTAAAAAATATTTTTAGCCAGCAGTTATGCTGATTTTCACTGTACATAATTGAAACCAAGCAAATGTAAATACTACTAAGTTCTCATATTCAACTTTACTAAACTTAGTTTTTAATTGGTCTGAGTACTGTAAGCATATAGAACTTTGATAAATTTTCTAATGCAGGAGGGAAACGTTGGCGTTTTACTAATAAAAACAAGAGTATTGACCAGAGGAAAGTTCAGAGTTTTCATTCAATTTACACGTTCTGGACGACTATACATACTTCAATTATCTATTAAAGTCAAAAATCTTAATTAAGCAATAACAAGTTCGTGACTAATGAGCAAGTTATTGTTTAGCAGAAAACGGATCACACTTTGTTGTTCAATAGTAATAATAACAATGACCTGCTTCCACTTTACCATTTTTAAAACAAAATTGAAGATCAAACTGTCATGTAAATATTGAAAAACACACTTGATCCTTGAATTCGCTTTTAATGCTTTTAACTGCTGTTCAACAGATCAAGGCGCTATTCAATATAAAAACAATAATTGAAGTCATCTATTGTAAGTAATCAAGGTTGGGTTAGGTTAGCCACAGCTAGATTAGGTTACTTTGAGTCGGAAGTTTTCTGAATCATAAATTAGAATAAAACGTATATACCACGCAAAATAATTTAATAAATTTACACAATTTACAATTTGTGTGTGTATAATTGTTTTTAAATTTCTACTCTTTTAAATTATACAAGTAACAAAATAAGTTAAACAAAAACTACTACACTAGTTGTTTATTAATGAATCATTTGCGACGGTCTGTTCGATATTATCCAGTGAAAGTGGACGAATAACATCATATACGTACTTATGTGCATACATAAAGGGATATATACCTGTATGTATATACGTATCTATTTCTATGCCTGTATCCGTGTCTTTGCATCGCAAAGATAAAGTTTTTTATAAGTACACTTGTTTTTGTGAACTTATAGGACGACCAAGGTCATAGTTAAAGAAAAGTGATAAACGGAAGAAACATTCATGGTTAAATCAGTGTTAAATTGTACTGGAAGTGAACGGTTTGTAACGTGATTTACAGTTTCAACCAGTGAGTATTGTAAACTAATAATTAGTGAATAAAATTTGCATTAGGTGTAAGTGTAAACATGGGAAATTACTTAAAGCTTTCAAGAATTAAAGGTAAGTTTGTTGTGTATGTACTTCATGTGTAAAACTTCGGCACAATTTTTGCGATTTAATGTTCAGTAGATTTATCAGCTTAAAGCGATTGTTGTCGATATTGACAAAATTATTGGCATGATCTATTATAATTACCAGCATCGATTTATCTACCCTTCTACTTAATTTGTGAAAGTTTTATAATGTTTTAATGTTTTATAATTTTAACTATTTTAAATTTTTATTATTACAGGTAAGTGGCTAATTTATGTGACAATATGGGCATTTCGTAGTATTTAATTGGATTAAAAATAAGGTAGGCAGTTCAGTATTTCAGAAATATAAACCCTATAAACTTATTTATTATCTTAGCAACGTATAAAATTCGCAGCGATCTTTTATTTATTCTTGATTTTTTAATATCTCTTTAAAATAATCTTATTTGATAATCAATTAACAATTACTGTGTAGTTGAAACTGCATAATTTAGTAAGTCTGTAAAACACTGGAACTAATGATTCAAAAATACCTATTATTTTTTAAAATTAGGAATACAGTACTCTGGCTTCATTAGAAATGTTTTTAATATTCTTGTTTCTTGATCAGATATTTTATTATACGAATCTCGTGAAAATGTTAATGGCTAAAAACTGCGCAGGTGTAAATACAAGAAAAAAAAAAAACAATTTAAAATTGTAATTGCAAATGTAGAACGTCATATTTAAATATGTATGAAATAAGGTACTATACCTTTCCAAAAATCTCAATGTCCACCAAAAGTAAGCATGGATCAGACTCGATCGGTAGAGGTTTGCATTCTTTTTCGGGTTTGTTGAGA